TCTCAATGTGGCCATCAGAGCTGCAGTCCAAATATGGTGACATGTTTGAAGTTTACTTAGGACCCCAAAGACATATTTGGCTGGGTCGTGCTGACCTCGTAGAGAAAATATATACTGCTTCGACAAAAAGTAATTACTTCATACATCAGCCGGACTCTCACGGAGGGCTTGCTGAATTGGATATGGCGGATAAAGGATTGGTGTTGAACTGTAATCTGAACACTTGGAAATTTAATCGTAAATTCCTGATAACGTCGTTGTTTTCCAAAAGTTTCCTAAGGGAAGCGTTAGTAGAGACAACCACACGGTTCGCCGAAATTGAATCGTATTGGGCGAAACTGGGTCACGATAAAGAATTGGATTTTCCACAATGGATGACCCGATTCTTCACTGATTCTACGACCGCAATGACCACAGGAAGAAAAGCAACAGCATCTTTCGCGTATTACCAAAAATTCACGAAAAAACATAACAGTAAATCCGAGCCAGCTGAAACCGAAGTATTCTTAGATCACTTATTGACCTGGGAATATTCGATGAAATTCTTCATATTACTACCACCATTCCTTAGGAATTACGTACCGGGACTACGCCATTACAATGAAAAATATAAGAAAAATAAAGCCTGGTTGGATGAATATCTTTTCGGATTAATCAGGCACCGTAGGTCGGAAATCGAAAGTATGCCGGAGAACGAGGAGCTACATCCAAATGTATTGTCACTCCTGATTACCGCAAATACACCTAAGGGGTTAAGCGTCGAGGTTGAGGGTGCTTTTCGCCCTATGATCGAAAAGGAGATATCTTCAAACATGTTGGAAGTTTTTGCCGGTGGTATTGAAACTACTGCTAATTCGGTTAGTTTCATTGTATATTACCTATCCACACATCCTCAATATCGAAAACGGTTTCTCCAAGAGATCCACGACATCCTCGGTGACGACATCAACACTCCAATTACCGCCGAAAACATTGAAAAATTCACCTTCCTCGATGCTATAATCAAAGAATCTGCTCGTCTTAAACCAGCAATTTCATTGTTCTTCCGCACAGCAGCCGAAGATGATGAAATAGGCGGTATGTATTGGAGAGCGGGAACCATGTTCTTCACAAATTTTCATGGACTTCACATGAATAAAGCACATTGGAAGAATCCGACAGAATTTAACCCCGAGAGATTTTTGGAAGGGGCTGACCCGATACCAAAGAATGCTTTTATGCAATTTGGGGCTGGTATGAGAATGTGCCCGGGTCGACAGTGGGCTGTATTGCAGATAAAGGCGTTATTGATTTCATTGTATAGAAAGTATGAAGTGGAATTGGCAGACAAGAATGCACCTTTGAAACACGTCTATACTATTGTTAACCACGTTTATGATTTGAACATTAAAATCTCTCCAAAGATTCGGTAATCGAAATATACTAATTTATTGTTTATAGGAAGAATTAATTGTATAAAACACCATCATTGTATCATAAATTTTTTTTTACTTTCACACATTATCTTGAATCAAACCAAGAGTAATAATAGTCATGCTGGTTATACTATTAGCAAAGATGTAAAAAGTTTATTAATAAATTGGATTATACCGAGAATTTATAATAAATAATTTGAACTATCATTACTATATTATGTCGTCTCATTTTAATTGGATTAACGATAAATTATTTAATGACTTTTTACTTGCACAAATAATATGTATATTATTTATTTTTAAAATATTAAATCAATTTTTTTAAGCATTAGCTTAGGGAAGCATCATATATCACCTGATTTTTTGGAAAGTGATTCAATATTACATACTGTATATGCTGTATATACAGTTTGTAACAAGGCTTTTTAAAATTATTTATTTGTTATTCAAAAACTATTGCATAGAGATCAATATATACTGTATATATAGTATATATTAAATAAAGTTAAAAATCCAGAGATTTTATTAATTTAAAATTAATAATTAATTTTTTTATTTTTTTTTTTCAATTATCATTTCACATCTCTTTTTTATTGAATCTATAAAATTATTTAAAATTTTATTTAAAATTTTATTCTATTTTTCTATTATAAATTATTTTGATTCTAAAATATTTTCGAATAATCACATTTTTATATTTCTTTAAAAACAATTCTAGTGGAGTTAAGTTAATTATTAAAAAAATTAATATTTAACTTCAAAAAAATTTTTATTAATAAATTTTTTTACAATTACACTTGTATATTTAAATCATTTATATATAGTATTAAAGAAAATAAAATTATTTTTAAACAATTTAATAATATTTTTATAAAATATTATATATTGTAAATTTTTTTTTTCTTTTTTTTTAAAGTCCAACTTGACTGAAGTAAATTTATTAAGTATTTTATGATAATATAGTAATAATTACATGAAAGATTCATCTAATATATTTTTCTATACTATTTATCCAATTGAATATCACAATTTTATCACAATGTGATACCATTTTGTCAGTTGTCTTGCTATACCTGGGTCACATAACATCTGAAGTCTGCTATGGGACTTATATTATTTATTTTTTAGGAGACTTGAGATATATGTTTTTTAATTCTTGATACTTTGTTTTCACATTCTTGTTTGTGTATACTATAGTAGATCCTTATCATATTTAGTTTTCAGAAGGTTGGTTATACTCTGATATGTACAGGCCTTACAATTTTGTACTATTATCCTGATAATTCAATGATATTGCTTCATTGATTGACCAATGATCTTCCATT